GAAATGACCAATCCAGAAAAAGATATCAATCAACGTGAGCTCTAATAATTTTAATTAGTTAATTTAATATCATCGCAGTTATTATGTCATTTGTGCATTATGAGTGTACACAATGAGACAAACATTAATAATATAAACAAGCCATGCATGGCACAGTCCCCATTAGTTATCAAATTTAAGATATATAGTTTTGTTTATAGTAATATAGCTGGAATATAACTATGTCAGGAATATGATTTTTTAACATTAAAATGATTGACAGTTGTATCTTATCAAACAAGTACATGTCCATATTGAGAGATATTGCCCTGGAACAGCATTCAAAATCAGCCATTTTGATTACATGTATATATATATAACGTATAACAAATATATAAAATTTAAATATAATAAGTCAAAGCATTTAAGAGATATGGCTCTAGAAGCCCAATCATTAAAACAAAATGGCCGCCAGTCAGGCATTTTGAATCCAATCTGAAAAATAAAATGACGAGCATAAGGAACCCGTAATGTCTAATGTATGTACCAAGTTTGAACGAAATCAACCCATAAATGCTTGATATTTGATGATTGTTTAGCACAAAAAAGGCCACCATTTGGCCATTTTGAATAGGATCGTCAAACCAGTATATCTGTCTATCTATGACATGATATATAATGAATATTTAAAATTTGAACATAATCAGTGAAAGCAAGTCGGAGATATGGGTCTAGAAGCCCATTCATTAATACAAAATGGCTGCCAGTCGGCCATTTTGAATCTTATCTGAAAAACAAAATTATTTGCATCAAGGTCCCATAATGTCTAATATATATACCAAGTTTGAACAAAATCCATCTGTAAACAGCCGAGAAATGGTTGATTTTTAGGATTTTTTAGCACAAAAATGGCCGCCATTCGGCCATCTTGAATCAGATCGTAAAACAAACTGATATGCATCAAGGTCTCATAATGTCTAACGTATATACCAAGTTTGAACAAAATCCATCTGTAAACAGCCGAGAAATGCTTAATCTTGAATCAGATTGTGAAACAAATTGACGTGCATATGTATAATATCATGTATGATGTATGTGTGAAGTTTGATTGTGATTGGTCCAGGCATTTCTAAGATACAGGTCCGGACGCACGCACAGACGCACGCATGCACGGACACACAGAGGTCAAAACATAAGTCCCCGTTTTCGGACTGCGTCCGAACGGGGACTAAAAATTTAAGTAAAATCTGGTCATTGGTATTCCCAAACTATATTCATAAAGAATGTTTATAAAATGAAGCACAGGTTTATGCCGTCCACTGTACATGTACATGTAGTGCAACTGAAGTACAGGTTTATGCCTTCCACTGTACATGTAGTGCAACTGAAGTACAGGTTTATGCCTTCCACTGTACATGTAGTGCAACTGAAGTACAGGTTTATGCCTTCCACTGTACATGTAGTGCAACTGAAGTACAGGTTTATGCCTTCCACTGTACATGTAGTGCAACTGAAGTACAGGTTTATGCCTTCCACTGTACATGTAGTGCAACTGAAGTACAGGTTTATGCCTTCCACTGTACATGTAGTGCAACTGAAGTACAGGTTTATGCCTTCCACTGTACATGTAGTGCAACTGAAGTACAGGTTTATGCCTTCCACTGTACATGTAGTGCAACTGAAGTACAGGTTTATGCCTTCCACTGTACATGTAGTGCAACTGAAGTACAGGTTTATAAGATATATATTATGGTAAATGATAATGTACAGGTTTATGCCTTCCACTGTACATGTAGTGCAACTGAAGTACAGGTTTATGCCTTCCACTGTACATGTAGTGCAACTGAAGTACAGGTTTATAAGATATATATTATGGTAAATGATAATGTACAGGTTTATGCCTTCCACTGTACATGTAGTGCAACTGAAGTACAGGTTTATGCCTTCCACTGTACATGTAGTGCAACTGAAGTACAGGTTTATAAGATATATATTATGGTAAATGATAATGTACAGGTTTATGCCTTCCACTGTACATGTAGTGCAACTGAAGTACAGGTTTATGCCTTCCACTGTACATGTAGTGCAACTGAAGTACAGGTTTATAAGATATATATTATGGTAAATGATAATGTACAGGTTTATGCCTTCCACTGTAC